TTTTTTTTTTGTTTTTTGCGGGGATTTTTTACCCTAAAATGCTGGTTTGCTCCAGGTGTAGAGAAGGTAGCCCTCTGTGCCACAGAAAACTGAATGTCACTATTGTTGAGTCATAACAACAAGTTCTGCAGAAAATCTAAAACACAAACGAAAGCACCGCAGAAATATTTTTGGCTTCGGAACTATTTGCTTCTTTATTTTGAGTAAAATTGTACCCCTGTGTGTTTTTGTGCAAATGTTATTTTTCTCTGCATGGTCTATATTAGCTTATTAACCTGTAATCAAAATTTAAATGTTTTTTTTTTTTTTTCCTCACAGTTTTGCTCATTCGGGAGTCGCCTCATGGGACGAGGGTACTATGTGTTTGATAGAAGATGGGATCGTTTTCGATTCGCACTAAACTCCATGGTAGAAAAACACTTGAATTCCCAGATGTGGAAGTAAGTGCGCAGTTTTCGTGCTGTATGTGCTCAGAGCTGCCCCACGATGGTCTGAACCCCAGCTTTCTAGATCAATGTTGGTAGTTGGCTTTTCGTAGAGCAAAATGATTCTGAGAACAGGATCCATGATTAATTCTTTAATGTCAGCGCTTCTTAATGCCTTGCCCCCAGTTTTTCAGAGACGCGTTGGATATATGGTATGCTTTGTCTTTCTTTGGAGATCATTTTTCTGTCGGTAATCTTCTAAACTAGGTGAAAAGAGTAGTAGATAAGAGCTCGTGTATGCAAGAGTGTTAAAGGGCCTTTATGCTCTGACTGAGAACATCTAAGGATACTAAGAATATGCCTCTGTTTGTAATGTCAATGCTACAGTGTCGATGCTAAAAACTTCACTATGGTTATGGACCAATTTCTAATTGTTTAATGTCCTGTGGAAAAAATATGTACAGCGGCCAACAAGGCAGAGCCCAGGCGATGTTTGAAGTTGGTTAAGCTTGTCTTTGGCCCTTCCCACCTAGCTAGATCTCTCTCCTCGCCTCTCCCTGTGTTTCTCTCCACCCTAAACCCCAGCTTCTATTCCATCTCTCTGAGCCCCCTTTGTTCTCCAACACCTCCCAATAGGAGAGTCATAAAAAGGGAAGAAAACTTCCTGATTTAGGCAAATGCCACTATGAGAGAATGACAAGCTAGACCCTCTCCAACCACGGCACATAAGGAGCACCAGTGCCGGCCACTCAAGCCCACTGGCAGCCCCCACCCCCACCCCTACCCAGGTGAGCTCTTAAGACCTCACAACCCATTAGAGTCATGGATCCCTCAGGTCTAGGCCCAGGAAAGGCCAACGCCAAACCCCTCACCCTGCCTGCCCAGGGAAGCCCAGGAAGGGCAGGAAGGCTTTCCTGAGACACAGGAGGGTGCTGTGGGTGGCGGGCCTGGGAACAGAATTCAGAGCTTGCCCCTCCCCCAGCTTCCCTCCTCTCTCCCAGGCAGCCCCTTTTCACCACGACGCCCAAAGAGCTTCCAGACCCAAGCTCGTAGCAGAAACAAGCCCCACGGTGTGTGCCGTAAACTGGCCTAGTGGACTCAATGTTGACACTTGCCACAAAGTAGGAAAGGGCCACAAGAGAAGCTTATCGTTTCTTCCCACTGAAACGACTGCTCAGTGTGTCTAAAAGGCACCCTTGGTTTCTGCCTGTGTCCATTCTAAACGCCAACACACGGGCGCTGCATGCGGGGTTACCGTGTTCTCAGTTATTTGGTTGTTTATCCTTCTGCACTTGTTCCCCCAAGATGGCAGCCCGCCCCGGTGATTCTTTCCGCTCTTTGCTCTCCTGTGTTGTGGAAGTGTAAATCCCGGACACGTGGAAGGAATGTGTTGATCTGTATTTCGCTACCTGGTGTCCTGTCAGCTCAAGCTCCATATTCCTTTCCTCCTCAGGCACAGAAACCCGAGCCACAGGGCATCAGGTCCCTCCCCCCTTTTCAGGACTTGCCTAACCAATCTGCTGTCACTGAGCAACATTGGGGCTGCCTGGGTGTCAACTCTGGAAAGCGTAGCACCCCGCTGCCCTCTCAACCTCGCTGCCCAAACCCCAGGCCCCGACGGGCCCGAACCTGGAGGGATGGCAGCCGATGGGGGCGTGGAAGACATTAGGAAGAAAAGGAACGGCCAAGACTCTTTTTTCTTTAACAAGCATTTAACTCTGCATCAGGAGACGCCAACACAGTATTCTCTTTCAGCCAGGTCAGCATCTGGATCTCCATGCCAGCTGGCAGGGGAGGATGGGCACTGTCAGTAATTTATGCGCATCTGTGGGCTTTTGTACGGGACTTCCCTAGGCCGGCGTGCAAAGTTTAAACCAGGGCACAGTCCGCAAAGCTGAAATCCGCTGCCATTTGGCACCCAGAAAAACATATAAACTATTTAGCACGGGATGGGGGGGAGGGGGAGGGGCCCCCCGGGACAGTGAGCCTCCACATGCCCCTCACTCCCCTGCCCTCTCTCCCCTCTGCCTCTGCTATCCACTTATGATTAGTGCGGGAAAAGAAGGAAAGGGATAGAGAGTAGGCTAAAAAGTAGCATCCATCCCAGTCCTGAGTGCCAGCTGGGCAAGACTGGGGACTTCAGCCCTGCTTGTCCACACAAGTTGAAGCACACATTTATACTATTGAATGGGAAAGTTACAAATTGGGACGTTCAGAGTAGATCCCACTGAAGGGCACTGATTGGGGTCCTCTCTAAATGAGCCATCTGGTATTCAGAAAATAACATTTATTACAAGTAACTGCAAACCTCTGCCCACGTGTATTTCTATCCACATTTTAGCTAGTAAGAAACTTGAGTCAGGGAAAGATGGAGTGGATTGCCTGTGGCACCACAGCCAGGAACAGAGACAGCAGGGAGAGTGTGCTCATGCCACACGTTCCAAGGAATCGCCCCTAAAGCATCAGGAAGGGGTTGTGCAGTGCCAGACAGTTTTAAGGGCGTGTCTAGACCTTTCCGGTCTGATATCATGGGAGTCCTTGCCCAGCATGCTTAGTTATGTTGCTGCTGAGAATTCACCTGCCCACCCATCCAGCCACCCACCCACCTACCCACCCATCCATCCATCCATCCATCCATCCATTCACTCATTAGTTCATTGCAACAAGAACTAACGTAGCACTGATTTAGTGTGGACAGGATCTTTTACGTTCTTTAGGCCTAAGAAAAAGTAGATTTTCGAACGTCATCGTGGCCACAGTGGATTTGGCAACATTTTTCTCTTATATTTGATCTGTTTGATCTGATGTTTTCAAGGACACTGTGCTTCTGTATTCAAGGACTCCTCTGGATTCCACCCTAAAGATGGAAACCATAGGCTCCACCAAATTGCAGGCAGGACACTGAATCTTCAGGGCAGCGCTAGGAGAGGCATTTCCTTCACAGTGGGGCCTCATCCTGCTGCTGCAGCCAAGAGAGTGGCCTCCAAGGACAGAAGGGCTTTCGAGAGGCCTCGTCTCACATCTTGCTCGAAGCTATGGGGGTGCAGGCCCCAAGCCTGCCCACCTTCAAGTACCACTTTCAAAGAAAGAGAGCTAGTTCCTAACTGCTGGGGTGGGGGGCTCAGCTACACTGAAAATGATTTCCAGGCAAAAGCGGGGGGTGGGGGGCGGGCAGCAAGGGGAGAACTAGGAAAGAGCCCGTTTGAAAACACTCACCTGGCTCCTGAGGTCAGTATCCCTTCCTGCAGAATAAAATGAGGAACGAACGGTGACCCCCAAAGCCCCTATGCTCCTCCTCCTGGTTCCCAGAGTAGCAGCAATATTGACCCAGGCCATGGTTTGGACATGGGAGTCAAAAGACAGAGTTTATAGGCAGGCCCCAAGAGTGACCCGCCACTGGGTGCTGCCCTTGGTTCCACAGAGTACAGGAGACAGGCAGTTTGCTCCCAGGGACCCCCAACCTCCTGGAAGACCCTCCTCCCCCCGACCTTGTGTTCTCCTGTGCCCACATCCTGCATCTGTCTTCAGAACAAAGTGGAAAGTCCCGATCCCCTTGTCTGGATACATGCGGGTCCCTATCTTCTCACCTCACCCTGACACAGAGATGCGGAGGCCTGTGGGAGGGCAGCCACACCCCCACTGTAGCTCCCCAGAGCGAGAGAGCCAAGGTTGGGTGATGTGAATAGAAATAAATCGGCAACAGCAGCCCCAGGCTCACGTGGACACGCCTCTCTGGAGTAAACCGGAGCCTGCAGGCAGCAAAGGCCCGAGAATGCTGGCCTGGGAGCAGGGGGGGAGGCAGGGCACAGGAGGGGCTGTGTGCAGGGGTGACCCCGGGGTGCCGGTGGCAAAGCCCTGTCCTCACACCTCTTACTTCAAGCCAGGACCTAACTGTGAAATGACTACTGCTCATTAAAAACCACCTTCATCACTGCCAGAAAAAAAAAAAAGAGCGAGAACACTGTTGGGGAAATTTCTATTCTAAATAACATTCGCCTTTATTCACGAAGCCAAATCAGCCATTATCCAGTAGCCAAGCGTGGAGACAAGGATGTGAAAACCTGAAAGCTTTCAATATAGGTTGCTGGATGTTGCAATGGGGGGAGCCACAGGGAAGGGCCATAATTCAGAGTCCGCCATCCTCCAAGGCTTCATCCTCCATAGTCTGGTTCTACTGGGGTTCCTCTGTAGCCCTGAGGCTCATGCTTACTCGAGCCTCTGGAGCAGTGCCAAGCCTGTTTCTCACGGTTTCTCTCTCACTCTTCTCTCATGTTTAGGAAGATCCCTCCTGCGGCAGATAGCCCCATGCCCTCGCCAGCAGCCCACACCTCCACCCCCGTTCCAGCATCCGTTTTACAGCCTTTCAGCAACCCCAGTGCTGTGTATCTTCCTTCAGCCCCCATCAGCTCGAGACTCACCTCTTCTTACATAATGACATCAGCCATGCTCTCAAACGCAGCTTTTGTGGCGTCGCCGGACCCGAGCGCCCTCATGTCACACACCACAGCTTTCCCCCATGTGGCTGCAACCCTCAGCATCATGGACTCAACCTTCAAGGCCCCATCCGCCGTGTCCCCGATACCAGCCGCCATCCCTTCCCCATCCCACAAGCCATCCAAAACCAAAACCAGCAAATCCTCAAAAGTCAAAGACCTGTCCGCCCGTAGCGACGAGTCTCCAAGTAACAAAAAGAGGAAGCCGCAGCCTTCGACTTCCTCCTCCTCCTCCTCATTATCCTTGCAGACATCCCTCTCGTCTCCATTATCAGGGCCCCACAAAAAGAACTGTGTGTTGAATGCCAGTTCAGCTTTGAACTCCTATCAGGCGGCCCCTCCCTATAACAGTCTGTCTGTGCACAACTCCAACAATGGGGTGAGCCCACTCAGTGCCAAACTGGAGCCCTCAGGACGGACCTCGCTGCCCAGTGGCCCCGCGGACATAGTGAGACACGTGGGCTCGGTGGGCGGCAGCAGTGACTCCTGTCCCCTCTCTGTGCCCTCCCTTGCAGGGGACCTCTCTCTGGCCTCACACAATGCCGTGTCTTCGCTGCCCCTCTCTTTTGACAAATCAGAAGGAAAAAAGCGTAAGAACTCGAGTTCTAGTAGCAAAGCCTGTAAAATCACTAAAATGCCTGGTATGAATAGCGTTCACAAAAAGAACCCACCCGGCCTTCTCGCACCGGTGCCCGATCCCGTTAACAGCACCTCCTCTCGGCAGGTAAGGGACCCGTGTTTCCAGGGGCCTCCCGGCGCTGCCTTCACGGGCTCTGGGGGGGCAGAGGGAGCTGGGCAGCGCCCCTGCTCAGCCAGGTAGCTCAGGTAACAGAGCAGCCTCCGTTCCGAGAACCGAGTAGTTGAGTACTTTGCCGCTGCGTGCTAAGTAAGCTGTCGCGAGCGAGCGCTGCGCGCATGTCACTTACTTTAAACCTCACCACCCAGCGCAGTCGGTGCAATTGTCAGCACCACTCTACAGATGGGGACGCTGAGGCACAGGGAGAGTCTGAGCTCCCCCTCCTCTTCTGTCGCTTTTGGATCTTGAGTTTTGAGCACAATTTCATTACATCTGGTCTATGGGAATCCCCTCCGTGAGAGCCCGAGGCCCAGGCAGGTCCAGTGATGACCCGGGCCACCTGGGCTATGGTAGGCGGTGCTACTGCCTCCCGGGGTGACTGACCGTCCCCACTCTTCCAGGCAACCTCGGCCCCACCTCCTCCTATGATAAAACTGCATCTCACACCTATAGGCACAGAAGGGTCCGATGCCACCTGCAAATAGGGTGTGTTGTGAGGAAGTCTGGGAAAGTGGGGCGTGGTCTGAGAAGAGCCCAAGACCGGCCGTCCTCAAATCTGATCTTTTCCCCCAGGCGGGGGAGCTACTTAGCAAATGCCCACCCCCTCCAGACTCTGCTAGGAGAGGGCAGAGGTGGTGGGAGGGCCCATCCTGAGCCTGAGCCCCACCGGGGCAGCAGGGCGAACAGGGGGCTACAGCTGCCCACATTTAGAATGAAGTGGGCCGGACCCTAAGGCCAGCCCTGTCTAGGGAAGAGGACTATGGAGGGATGAGAGGCAGTTAAACAGATGTTTTAATTTTTATGTCATCTTTATATGAGACTTGTTACAACCTCACAAAGAGAACATCTGGGGGGGGTTCACAAATCACAGGTAAACACCTGAGAAACCGCACGTTTGGATCTCGGGGGCCAGACAGGCTGCACACTGAGACCAAGGGGAGACAAGGGGAGATGTAGGTCCTCCCACTAGAGCCCTGTGGCTGCAGCAGATGCGCCACCATCTGACCCCCCCCCGCCCCCAATTCCAGGGGTGCAGAGGAAAGGGGCTGGCACCCACAGACTAAGCTGCTGGTCCGGGCCACCTCCAGGCCTCAGGATGAAGGGTAGAACCAGGACTTTCTAAACTTGAACTTGCACAGGCAGCCCCTGGGGGTCTTATGAACCTGCAGACTCTTTGTCAACAGGTCTGGGGTGCCACTCTCTGGCTTACAGGCCACACCCTGAGCAACAAGGCTATAGTGTCACCCATTTTATTTTTAAAAGTTTTTATTTATTTATATATTTATTTTGAAAGAGAGAGAGAGCCGGGGAGGGTCAGTGAGAGAGAAAGAGAGAATCCCAAGGAGGCTCCGTGCTGTCAGCGCAACACCCAGTGTGGGACTCAAACTCATGAACCGTGAGATCACGACCCGAGCCAAAATCAAAAGTCAGGCACTTAACCGACTGAGCCACCCAGGTGCACCTAGTGTCACCCACTTTATATAAAGTTCTAGCCGCTAACACTTACTTCTGGGATGGGCTCTGTTCCAAGCACTTCAGATATATTAATTCCTTTCATTGTTACCTGTTATTACCCCCATTTTACAAATGAGTAAACCGAGGCACAGGAAGGTTAAACAATGTGCCCAAAGTCACACAGCAAGGAAATAGTAGGGCTGAGATTTAAACCTAGGCAATTTTACTCTGGAGTCTAGACTCTTAACCCCCATGCCTCTGTGTTAATGTTGCCCTGTTTGTTCTTGGGTCAGCAGGACTCTATGAAATATTTAGTAAACACAATGAATTAGTCAAAAATGAATGAATGAAAAAGTTTAGTAAACACAATGCATTAGTCCTGAAAGGAGCAGACGAGCCTCCAGCAGAGTATTTATCAGGAGGGAAATCAAAAAAGCAGATTACTTGAACAGCTGCCTTGGTCTAGCCAGCACTGGCTCCCTAATGCAGGCAATACTTGCCTGGGTGCTTGTCACCAGGCCATTAAGAAAAGGCTTTGTCCAGGGGCACCTGGGTGGCTCAGTCGATTAAGCATCTGACTTCAGCTCAGGTCATGATCCCATGTTTTGTGAGTTGAAGCCCCGCATCGGGCTCTGTCCTGACAGCTCAGAGCCTGGAGCCTGCTTCAAATTCTGTGTCTCCCTCTCTCTCTGCCCCTCCTCTGCTCATGGTTTGTCTCTCTGTCTCTCAAAATAAATAAATGTTAAAAAAAAATTTTTTTTTTTTAAAGAAAGAAAGAAAAGGCTTTGTCCAGGGTCACCACTGGTGATTTCCAAGTGTTGGGGAAAGGCCTTTGCAATCAGTGTTGATCCCGTTAGGAGACTGGAGAAGCATAACATAGGTTGAGAAATTCAAGGTATGGGCTTTGGGAACCAAATAGGGCTCTCTTAAATTGTATCTGGGAAGCATAAGACCAGAATTGCCACAGAGATATTAAATTGAACCAAAACAAGACTGCCAGTGTAAGGCAAACATCTTTATGCAAAGGTGAGTTAACGTAGAGGACGATGCTCTCTATAGGTCTCTATAGGCTCCAGGAGGAGCTGCCTGCCAGAAGGGTAATCACCTGAGGAACCAGCTCCCCAGATGCCCAGGACGGTCACAGAGAAAGGGAAGGAGCCCCATAGCCACACCCACCTGCCCCCAGAGCCATTTGCCTTGTTTTCTGAAGAATAGCAAGGTGTTGGCTATGTCTTCTGGCCAAGAAAACTGACCCAGAAAAAGATGCAGGCTTTTATCCTGAGCTAGTCCAAGGGAATCTGAGCCGGAAACCAGATGGGTCTGGGACTGCTCTGCGAGGTCAGGGATGGAAAAGCTGGGGCCTCTGCAGGGTTAAATGCCCCCCCAGGAGGGGCCGGGCCTCTTGCCAGATGCCTTTATCCTCACCCCCTGAAACTCACGGTCTACATCTGGGAAGCAGAATGAAGAGTTCCCCTCCATTCTGCTTTCTCTCTGGGACGGGAAGGGTGTCAGCAAGATGCCCCCCAAGGCATTTTCATCTCCTCTGCCATCTGAGATGGAAACACTAGCCATGCACCGCTCGGAGGGAGGGATGGCACTCTTGTACCCCGGGCGGCGCAGGGTCCCGGGAGTCTTTCACAGGCTGGCGGATCTGAGTGGGCCTCGCTGGTGTCTTTCAGGTTGGGAAAAATAGCAGCCTACCTTTGTCACAGTCCAGTCCTTCAAGCATATCCAGCCCAGGACACAGCCGACAGGTAAGGTACTGAGGGGGACGTGCACAGGGTCACCAACGCAGAGGCATGGGCAGTGGGGCAGACCCTAGCTCGAATCTCTGCTCCAGCTAAGAACAAAGCTTCCTGGCTTCCAAAGCTAGGCCTTCTGGTTAGTAGCTGTGTGCCCTTGGTCGAGTTACTTAACTTCTCTGTGCTTTAGTTTCCTCACCCATAAGGGGATCATAATGGCCCCCACCTCCTGTGGCTTTTGTGAAGATTAATCTATTCACCTAAAGCCTCTAGAAAATGCCTAACACATAGCACACTAGTATGAGCCCCGATTTTTATTAGCAGCTGTGTGATATTAGGCAGAGTAACTTCTCTGGGTCTCAGTGTTTCCATCTGTTAAATAGCAAAGGTGATGCCTACCTCCTAACGTTGTTGAGAAAATTAATGGTTTTGACTGCAGGGCCTCGCTAGGGACACCCATCAGTCAGTTCTCTCTCAAGGCCTCTGGTGAACTGTAGCTACTGTTCAAGATGTGGTTTCCTGGTGGGAACATCCAGGGTAGATGCAGCAGTTTTTACAAATTCGAGGTGTGAGAGTAGTCAGTGTACAAATGATTTGCTACGAGGGACTGTGCGTGCCCCTGGGGGAAGCCAGGGTGGGTAGGGGATGGGGGTTTGTAGGTTACATGTGACTGTAAAAAATAAACGTATGGTGGTGTTATGTTGTCTTCAACGGGCTACAGGTTTTGTAGAGAACAAATTGCAATGTGTTTGTCTGCATTTCGGCCTTTGAGGTCTCCCCACAGATGTCAGGGTGGTGTGTGGGTGAAGATTATAGGAAAACCGTTTTTGTATCCCTAGATCAAGGAGCGCGTCTCCATCATTTTGGGTCACTTTGTGCCTGAGCACCTGAAGCCTATCCTCTGTGGGGGGTAGGTGGGGGCAGGGGTCTGGGCCCTGGCAACCTGCCTCTGATCTTGACAAGCCTCCTGCACGGGTTGCTGGGTCCACCCAGAGGCCACACGGTCACCCTTAACAAATGTAATAATAATCAAATAGCCACCGTTTGTGGTGGCTTTTTCTGCAGGTGCCGCGCTGAGCCCTTTACATATATATAGACCTGTTAGCAACCCTGTGAAGGACCAGTGATGAGCCTCATGTTACAGACTGGAGATACCCGGGGGAAGAGGCTAAGTAACTTGAACCCAAAGCCTCTATGTTAATCCAACACTACACTTCTTCCTTAGATAATTCTCCGTGTGGTGCACAGGTTAGATAGGAAAAGGTAAATGAACAGAGGCCAAAAAAAAAAAAAAAAAAAAAAAAAAAAGACTGGTCAATTATTGCAGTTCTCTCTCTGGGAAGGGAACCACACCCCCACCCCACCACATGCATGTCCACGGGGTTTGCCCCTGTGTTTTCCCCCAAGCTAGGATCTTTGTGGCCACCTCACATGCCCCTCCTTTGCTCATTTGCCTCGTTTCTTTGCCCAAGGCAAGAGGTGGGACGGTTGCCTTAAGGGTCACGCCAGACGGAGAAAGCGGAGGCTCCGTTCTTGAGTTCTTGTGGGTAATCCCCAGTGTGTGGTTTCTACACAAGCTTTTCTTTTCTTTCCTAGAAGACCACCAACAGAACGGGCAGGATCAGGACTCTTCCGTAACAAGACTGTGAAGCCACTTCCAAACCAATGCCTGGCCACCCGGGGCTGAGGCGGGAGGAGGAGGGAGGGGTGTGCGCAGCCGGGGAGAGTCTGTTTCCTGTGCCGGCGGGTGGCTCTGGCCTTTCTTCTTCCTTTTTTAATTGACCGGTTTTTAGTTCCGAAGAGAAAGCAAAAGGCAAAAGAACGTGAATTTAAGATTCACAGAAAACAGTACCAGTGTTTTGTTTCGGTTCCTTCATTTGCCACGTGTACGCGTTCTTCCAAGTTCGGGGTCGGCCCTCTATAGCTTCCGATGCTGCTACCGCACCATCCTTTTGCTCCAGCCAGGAGAGCAGACGCTGCAAGTGTCAGTTCCTGGTTGGCGTTGTCTGAAACTCTTGAACTTGAGCACACGCCGTGCTCCTTCCCTCGACCTCTCCCACCTGTCCCTTCCATCCCCTCCCACCTGCCGCTCACGGGGTCCCCACTGGCCTTCGGGAAGGGGCTGGCTCTCACGAGCTCCCCTCTGGACAGCGTGCTGGGGGAGGGGCTTTGCTGGGAAACAGCCTGTGTCTCTGCCGAGAGCGGAGAGCTGCGGGGCCGGGCTGAGCGCCCCCAGCAGGTTCCTGCGCTGCACCAGCACCGTAGGAGCCCGACGCTGTGGGCAAGTTGGAGAAAAGTGGCCACTGAACTATGTCGTTTACCCAATACCACTGTCCAGCTGTGCAGCTCAGAGAGGATATACTGGGTCAGGAACAGGGGCTGGAATGGGCCTGGAAGGTGACAGGAAGCAGAGCGTATGGGTAGGGGAAGATATCCCTCAAAAGACCGAGGAAACTGGGTGACTGATCATCGGAGCTTGTTAGGAATCCACGCTGCCAAATCCCTTCCCGGGTGCCGTGCACAAGGGCCCCAAAGCTGGGTGAGCCAGAGAAGGAGGAATCCCAGGGAAAAGGCACGAGACCCCAGTGCCCACAGCGATGGAGGTTCCTAAGCTGCCCTCCGGGGCCAGGCAAGAGGAGAAAACGCAAGGGTGGGGGTGCAGGAAGGGTCTGAGGGAAAGCTTCCGTGGAGGGTTAAGTATCCAACGCCTGGTGAGAATAAATACTAGCACTGCCCGCGCCCCTCCGTGCCCTGGGCCCCAGGGTCCCGTGCAATCAGCATTCCCATAGATCAGCTTATACTAGGTTATCACCAGCCCCGACTCACAGCACCCCCACCCCCAGAAAGGCATAGTAAGCCCAGTCACCGCCTAATGAGGAAGAGCCGTTTGGAAGAGAGGGAAGAAAGAAGCCAGAGCCCTGCAGCTACAAAACTGTTCACACTGGAGTTTTGAAAGAAGTAGCAATACGATTAGCTCTAAGAGGGAATCATAATCAGGAATTCACAATATGACATAGGCATCCTGCGCTATTAATCGTGAAACTTTGCGGACGAGCTAATAGCAAGAGATCCTAGGAAGTTTTGCTTCATCCCTAAATCAGAAATGAATGCCAGTTTTACAGCTGGGCCCAAACCCTCATCCCGGCCCTCAAGTTTCCCTTTTCTGCCCCATCCCCTCAACCCAAAGATCAGACTACTGTTAAGTTTCACCACATTAGATTTTGGGAAGACGGGAAGCAAACGGAGTGATTTGTATCAATGGAATTGCACTGACAGTGTTTCTTATAGGATTCCTAAAATTTTTAATATAAAGTGAAGATTTTTTTAAAAATCAGGAGTTGACATTAGGTACCAGGACATTAGTTCAGACGATTTCATTTTTATTTCTACAGTGTTAAAAGTGCACTTATATGCTGGTTTATTTACGTCTTGGGAAAAAGAGACTGCAAATTGAAGGGAAGATG